CTTTCATTATAAGATAGCCAGGGTAGAAAAGGAAACGTGATGCTATTTTTAGTCACTCGACTCACGTGATACCCGCTTTAAACAACGGGTACCTGATTTGAGGTGAGAGAGAACACTAGTAACGTGACAGCCCCCCCCCCCCCCCACACCATGTAGTAAAGAGACCTACAACGTGGCGTTACCCACACACAAATTTGGTAACGTGATCCCCACACATCTGAGACAACGTTACCCACACACACAACTGAGACGCTACCCACACACAAATTTGGTAACGTGATCCCCACACAACTGAGACAACGTTACCCACACACACACACAACTGAGACAACGTTACCCACACACACACACAACTTAGACAACGTTACCCACACACACAACTGAGACGTTACCCACACACAACTGAGACAACGTTACCCACACACACAACTGAGACAACGTTACCCACACACACAACTGAGACAACGTTACCCACACACACAACTGTGACAACGTTACCCACACACAACTGACACAACGTGATTTACACACAACGTAACCCACACACTAAAACTATCTTTAAAAAAAATTATGAGAATTTTACTGCTGTTACCCCTACACCATTCTACACAGACTAGCGTGTTGAAATTTTGTTTTGTTCGCTTCGAGAAACAAATTATTCGCCAACAACTGCCGATAATTCCCCCCCCCCCCCATGTATTGTTTATTCATTAGAACGGCCAATGCCTGTATATGAAAGTATACCCAGTCCGAGTGCCCCCCCCCCCCCCCCGGGAGAACAACGGTATTATTGTGACGCTTTACGTGCGGTCGTTGTGGTCACGTGGTGTACACACATCGAAACATTGCTGAGTACATAAAGCAGAATGCTAAAAATAGATCGACAACGCTATTGTGTTTAGGGCTTATGTTGACACTACACCAAAACCAAATTTGTGCCGATTGGCAAAATATGAGGTAGGCATTGTTATACAGCATTGTATCAATCCTGGCAAAAATATGAGTTAGGCATTATTATACAATGGAATGTATCAATCGTTGCCGTAGGCGCCCTATAGTGTGTGTAGGCAAATCACAGTGACCGTTGTTTGAGTTGTAAACAGATGGTTAGGATAGCTTTAGGAGACGTCAAATTTAGTAGTAGAGATCCACGCTAACATCTGTCAGAAGTAAAGATCCACGCTAACATGTCAGTAGCAAAGATCCACGCTAACACCAAATTACATCATAGAACAAAGATCTCTAAAACTAGAATTCCCTCACAATTTTATTTTAACGATACATTTTTGACACATTAATACCACATCGGTTGAGTATTAAAGTTGCTCAAACTGTCCAGTCATTAGCCTAAAATGTCCACTCTGAGTCTCATCAACTTAAACACAATAAATATTCCAGTATAAAACCTCTCAAGATTTTGACAACATCACCCAATACCTGTAGCACAGCTACACAGTAAATTATTTTTTTTGTTTTGTTTTTTGTTTTTGTTTTGTTTTTTTGTGGAAGAGAGAGAAGAACCACTGATACGTTTAAGATTTAATGAGACAATCGGTAGTTGATAACAGTAACAAAAACCAATCATCATTTTAAAAATTAGGGTCAATTTAAGGTTTAGATTTAATAACGAATATGCTTTAGTAATGGCAAAATAATGAGCAGAGAAATGTCTTTAAAAATGTGCAGGCTAAGAGAAAATTGTGCAAACATCAGCGTCAGGCCGGGAGAAAATTGCAATTAAGTGGAGCATCTGCATGGGTCGCAACTTTATCATCACTCGATTATGTCCCCTCGCCCCAGCCTAAACCCCACCCCCTAAAACATTGAAAAGAACTCGAGAATTTTTCCTCTCCACGGGGAGAGAGCATCTTAGATTAGGTTAGAGTTTTTTTCTCCCCGGTCCGGTATTAAGGAAGTCCAGCCAGGAACTTGGGCAACACCTTGGAGATTAGTGACATAGACAGCTTCATTCACGGCCGCGATCTACACACACGGATCGCGCGGGTTGGGAGATGGGTGTCTGTGGGGGTATACTCGTACACTTGAATATGTAGGCTTTAAATACACACACACACACACATATATATATATATATATATATATATATATATATATATATGTATATATATATATATATATATATATATATATATATATATATGTATATATATATATATATATATATATATATATATATATATATATATATATATATATATATATATATATATGTGTGTGTGTATGTATGTATTAGTATGTACACATTTATATGTATGTATTTCTGTACTTATGTGCACGTATATCTCCCCAATCCCTATTTGCACATTCATATATTTTCTATAGGGACTTATCTATGTGTACACACATACCACCTTATACCCATCACCCCCCCCCCCCCCTCAGACCATCAGTAAGTAAAATGTCCACCACATATCCATCACCCCCCCCTACACCCAGTAAGTAAAATGTCCACCACACCCCCCCCCCCAGACCATCAGTAAGTAAAATGTCCACCCCATACCCCCCCCCCCCCCAGTAAGTAAAATGTCCAGCACACACCCTTCAACCCCCCCCCACCAAACACACACCCAGTAGGTAAAATGTCCACCCCCCCCAGACCATCAGTAAGTAAAATGTCCACCCCCCCCATCAGTAAGTAAAATGTCCACCCCCCCCCAGACCATCAGTAAGTAAAATGTCCACCCCCCCCATCAGTAAGTAAAATGTCCACCCCCCCCCCAGTAAGTAAAATGTCCACCCCCCCCCCCCCAGTAAGTAAAATGTCCACCCCCCCCCCCCAGTAAGTAAAATGTCCACCCCCCCCCCCAGTAAGTAAAATGTCCACCCCCCCCCCCAGTAAGTAAAATGTCCACCCCCCCCCCCCCCAGTAAGTAAAATGTCGAGCACACACCCATCTACTCTAGCATTGATCCCTCTCTAAATGGACCAGACGGACCGATACATTGGCTGTGGTTATAAATAGACTTGTGGGGAAGAAATGGATAGCTCAGCCTCATGAGGTCTAGTGGGTAGAGAGTAAAAGCTAATTACATCTTACACAAAATGGTTTCTAGGGCCGGCAACTGTGATCTAGTACATAACACGGATATCTTTCGTACATGTGACCAGGTTTCCATACAGTAGGTGTTAGCTGATAGACCAAGTGCTACCTTAGAGACCATCAACTGCTACCATTTAGACTGTTACCTTATACACCATCGACTGTTACCTTACAGACTACCAACTGTTACCGTACATACCATCGACTGTAAATCTACAGACCACTAACCGTTACCTTGCAGACTACCAACTGTTAGAAAAAGCTTGCAGCTTACCGAACCAGCAGCTTTGTTGATTAGATTTGCCAGATTTTAATTACACAATTACTGTTCAATCTTCTAGCCATCTCTACTTCTGTAACTACTAGGGCGAAGGAAAACAGAAATAGACTAATGGTCTTCAACTACATCAATAAATTAGGTCATACATGGACAACAACAATACATCTTTGTTGCTTTTATCAGCGATTGCTTTATTTTAACTATTGATACCGGCAACCAAAGACATAACTGCTTTTAATAAATAAATCTATAGCTAAGTTTGCAATGTTATGTGTGGTCTATCAATTCAATTGTAAATTAATGGCACCGACAATTTCTGAGAACTTATTTAAAGTATTTTTGACAAAGTAAAATATTTTAAACTGTTTGACAAAAGAAGCGAAAAGCATGATATTTCTGCACCATTCGTACTATCAGCGATAAACACGTGTATATATCGTATCGAGGACTGCAGAACATTGTGTAGGATGAATCAAGGAATGGAGATTGGCTTGATACACGGAGCAGAAGTAGAAATTGACTTGACGTTGTGTTCCTGATAATGAATGTTGTATACAGGATAATGGATGTTGTATAAATGATAATGAATGTTGATAGATGATGATGTGTTTTTTATAAACTATGTTGATGTGTGTTGTTTAGATTATGTGTATCGTAGAGATAAAATAGTTGTCGTTTATTGATTCTAGATCTGTATGTCATAAGTCTCTTTCTGATTCTAGATCTGTATGTTATGTGTCTACAGCTGATTCTAGATATGTATGCCATTTGTCTATAGCTGATTCTAGATATGTATGCCATTTGTCTATAGCTGATTCTAGATCTGAATGTCATATGTCACTTGTTGATTCTAGATCTGTAAGTCATATGTCGCTTGTTGATTCTAGATATGTATGTCATATGTCGCTTGTTGATTCTAGATCTGTATGTCATATGTCTATAGCTGATTCTAGATCTGTATGTCATGTGTCGCTTGTTGATTCTAGATATGTATGTCATATGTCTATAGACTCTATAGCCGATTATGGATCTGTATGTCCTGTGTCTATAGCTGATTCTAGATCTGCATGTCATATGTCTCTTGTCAACTGTTCTAGAGGTTACATGTACACATAACCCTAATCCTAAACTACTATATCTAGATGCGAAAAAGCATCTATAGAACGACTATACTAACCTGAACTATCTACGATGCACTAACCTCACTAATCTATCTAACTAATCTACCACCCGATTAAGCCTAATCCTTCAACCACACACTAAAACACCCCATAAACCCCATAGATCTAGATCTATATTGACTAGGCTCTAGATCTATATGTTGAAGAACGATTGCCGCACAAATTGTGATAACTTAGCGATAAGAAACAGCAATTAGCCGAGAACAAGTAAATGTAAACCCAAACCAATACCCTTCATTAAACTTTCACTAGCCTTAATCTCCTGGTATTAACCCCCCCCCCCCCCCCCCCCACAATATTGTGTGCCAACTACTTCTCTAACGAGAAAATTTTAACTTTCCGAACCTTTTAAAAATAATCCATTCGCCAGTTGGGAACATTTAAATGCCAGTTTAGGCGCAGGCCATTTAGAAATACACAGAAACCGTTTTATAAGGATTCTATTCAACTGGACGGCTGTAGCGAATCGATTACTCACCAGTATCCGAAAATCCCAGTATTAAGAAAGCACATTACTTAAATCCAAGGAGAAAAAATATAATCCACGTGTATCGTGAGAGAAAGTTTGCTCAAATGTTGCCGGATTACACCACGGTAGTACGGCGCAGTACAAAACTCACCGCGACCGTCTGCTCTATCCCGCCGGCCCCCGCGCGACGGCCCGCCATGCGTGAAGGCGGGTAGGCTGGCTGGGCGACCACGGAGGGGTGAAACCTACCTTGTCGCGAGTGGGACGATACTACCAGCTTTCGAAAAGTAAATTTAGATCGACTAGGTATGCGCCGGGTTTAAGCAAATAGGTTGGTAAAGTTTACTGGCTTATTTTTTTAAACCAAAAAGTGGGCGGATACTAATTTTACGACAGGAAAGTATTTTAATCTACCTTTGGGGGGAAAAAAACACGTTTTTTATGTTTAAAAAGTATCCCGTCTTTGAGAGAAAAGCAAATACTTTTAAATCTAAGGAATTAGTCTGTTTAAAATAAGACATTTTGTTTGTTTTAATTGCACCCTGCGCAGATTTTCAACTAAATACTAGAATTTGCTTACAAATCAAGACCCGGATAAAGGAATGTGTGTATTTTCTAGACAATAATTGTATACAATTTTCTAAAGGTGAAGCGATGACTGCAATCATCGAACAGGAAATGACTCAAAGATTGCAGGAGAAAATATGAGGGAAGACGGTGAAAGACGTCGGTAATTAAAATAAAAAAGGTTGGACGATGCTAGACGGAATATTTAGGTCGCTCACGAGTACGTTGTGATGTGCAAAAAATCATTTGAAGAAGTTTAAGAAGGTCACAGATTTAAGATCAGAATTTATTTTACTGTCACCAGGTGTTTGAATGCTTTATTTATTCTTGAAATTGTCCTGTTTGATACAGTCCTGTACGGGCATGTTTGATATAATTCTGTTTGATATTGTCCTGTTTAACATTGTCCTGTTTTGTAGGATCCTGTTTTATATTGTCCTGTTTGATATTGTCCTGTTTGATATTGCCCTGTTTTGTAGGATCCTGTTTTATATTGTCCTGTTTTGTAGGGTCCTGTTTGATATTGTCCTGTGATATTGTCCTGTTTTGTAGGATCCTGTTTTATATTGTCCTGTTTTGTAGGGTCCTGTTTGATATTGTCCTGTTTTGTAGGGTCCTGTTTGATATTGTCCTGTGATATTGTCCTGTTTTGTAGGATCCTGTTTTATATTGTCCTGTTTTGTAGGGTCCTGTTTGATATTGTCCTGTTTTGTAGGGTCCTGTTTGATATTGTCCTGTGATATTGTCCTATTTTGTAGGATCCTGTTTTATATTGTCCTGTTTGATATTGTCCTGTTTGTTATTGTCCTGTTTTGTAGGATCCTGTTTGATATTGTCCTGTTTTGTAGGGTCCTGTTTGATATTGTCCTGTGATATTGTCCTATTTTGTAGGAACCTGTTTTATATTGTCCTGTTTTTTCCACGGTCCTGTGTTATAAGCTCATGTAACACAGAAGCTAGTCCACTCCAGGTTTATATCAGGCACAGGTTTATATCAGACACAGGTTTAGATGAGGCGCAGGTTTAGTTTTAGACAAGGCTTTGTTTTCCATGCGCTAGCTAAAATTACATCAATGTCAGACTAAAATGCATTTTTTCTTTGCTCAAGCCTTAAACACATCTTGACATTTTCTTGTCCAACACCATTACTGCATGGCATTCAAATCAACTAATCCCCACCCCTAACCCTCACCCCCACAGTCCCCACCCCTAACCCTCACCCCCACACACTTAACACACAGTGCTCATTTAAAATATCTCAATTTACACCATTAAATATTGACGTCTCTGCTCTACATTATAGATCACAAAAAGAGCCAGAACTAGATCATTAGTTGACTCTGAACGGCCCTTTACATAAATAAATATTCTCTCATCTGAAGGCTTAACAACTTATTCCTGATCAGAAGAAAAAAAAATATACATCCAACATATTTTATCACAACTGCAATGCAAATAAAAGTCTTTATTTGTGATGAACAATTATCTTCTAGTAGCGTTCATGATAAAATATTCAAACATCTAGTTCAATTTTTGTACATAATCTCAATGCATACGTTATTTGACGCATATCAGACGACTTAGGTTAAATAGTAGTGTATAAGATATCGGTATTTTACACTGAGTAGTACTCATACAAAAATAAAAACAACTCACAACATTCCGTCTAGACAATACAAAAACAACTCAGTTAATAATATACAGCAACCCACCGAATTCAGTCAAAACAAATGACAACAACAGTCTGTCATGGAAAGGTCTAGACATGTTTTACTTCTTGGGGTCACTCTATCGGTCATGGGGCATCTCCTGCCACGCGCTGCAGTGTAGTCTGGTCATGCGCACTGGAATTATTTCTCCGATATTAAACAGTAATGTAATGACCGACGTGCACAATGATCCAATTTATTGTGTTTATTCTATCTAATTAGAATATATACGGTAAAGGATGAACAAATCCAATCAAAACGATCACTACACACTATAGCGTGTCAAGTATATCAGGTTGCCAGAACAATTTGTTGTCGGCGCGCAAATCGAGGCCAGGGTTGAGGGCTGAAAGATTGAAGCGTTCTAGCGGAATCGTTTTAAAATCGAATTAAGGTCATCGCTTGGTCAGACAGATGGACACGATTTTTAATTGCTTTTTGGTGTTGTTATTGTAAGGCTGGGAAGGATTTGATCTAAATGTTAGCTGAACACATGTTGTTAGAATCACAGTGGAGGGGGGGGGGGTGCCTAATTTAAATGGTGTCTCTGTTGAGTGGTGATTCATGCATGGGGTGACAGATGATGGAGTCAACAATAGGGCGCAGTGTAAGGGAGCGGGCGCGGGTCGTGGGCGCTGATGCGTGAACAATCACGTGATCGTTCTAGCTGATATCGACCGTATAGCAACTCATTAGCTACATATATCATGGCTACATGGGTTATATCCAGACATGGCTACATGGGTTATATCATGTCTACATGGGTTATATCATGGCTACATGGTTTATATCATGGCTACATGGGTTATATCATGGCTACATGGGTTATATCATGGCTACATGGGTTATATCCAGACATGGCTACATGGGTTATATCATGGCTACATGGGTTATATCATGGCTACATGGGTTATATCATGGCTACATGGGTTATATCATGGCTACATGGGTTATATCATGGCTACATGGGTTATATCCAGACATGGCTACATGGGTTATATCCAGACATGGCTACATGGTTTATATCATGGCTACATGGGTTAGATCCAGACATGGCTACATGGGTTATATCATGGCTACGTGGGTTATATCATGGCTACATGGGTTATATCCAGACTTGGCTACATGGGTTATATCATGGCTACGTGGGTTATATCATGGCTACATGGGTTATATCCAGACTTGGCTACATGGGTTATATCCAGACATGGCTACATGGGTTATATCCAGACATGGCTACATGGGTTATATCCAGACATGCTTACATGGGTTATATCCAGACATGGCTACATGGGTTATATCATGGCTACATGGGTTATATCGTTGCTACATGGGTTATATCCAGACATGGCTACATGGGTTATATCGTTGCTACATGGGTTATATCATGGCTACATGGGTTATATCCAGACATGGCTACATGGGTTATATCATGGCTACGTGGGTTATATCATGGCTACATGGGTTATATCCAGACATGGCTACATGGGTTATATCAAGATATGCTTACATGGGTTATATCCACCAATAGCTACATGGATTATATTCACAAGTAGTTACCTGGATTATATCAATGGCTACATGAATATATCCATCAATGGCTACATGAATATATCCACCAGTGGCTACATGGATTATATCCAGACATGGCTACCTGGATTATATCCATCAATAGCTACATAGTTTTCATTCAACTATAAAAATAAACTATGTGAAATCTAATCTTCCCATTAAAAAAAACCAATTGCTTTCTCGCGTCTAAAATCAAACAATTACAATGTTATTTACTTCGACAATGTCTAACTAACGCCGTAAAATTATTGAACTACCCAAAGCTTACAAATGTAACCTCTCCAGCATAACATGTAAACAAAAAGTAATTTCTCTGGCTGAACTTAAATAAGCTTTCTACAAGCCTGCTATTTAGTGCTCAATAATTTTTTTAAAAACTTTATTGACTTTCTTATGCAAGAACTATCTGAATGAATGTCCCAAGGCGGTTCTACCTTTTGTGTGTGTGTGTGTGGGGGGGGGGGGGTATGAAGATGGAATTTTGTTCGGAAAAGCTGTTTGTTTTTATTAAATTTAGATGTAATTGCTTTTTCATCTTACCTTTATTCATTAGTACTTAAATACATGTATAAATACTCAGTATATATATATATATATATATATATATATATATATATATATATATATATATATATATATATATATATATATGTATGTATATACAGACACTCATGGCTGCCATCTGCTGCCACAGATTGAGAACCTCGGATTCCACATTTTTTGTTTGTACTCATGTGTTTTAAATGCTCCCATTAAATCTATTTTTAGCCTCTCCCTTGTCGAGGTGGGTGACAACATTCGAAGTGTGCGTGAGTCACAGCTACTGAATGGGCAGATTACAAGTGGCAGAACTCTGGTAGCGGCACCAAGTCAGCACACAGCAAGTGAGGCCACACCAAGTGATGCCACACCAAGTCAACAGCCACACCAAGTCAACAGCCACTCCAAGTAAACAGCCACACCAAGTCAACAGCCACACTAAGTAAACAGCCACACCAAGTCAACAGCCACACCAAGTCAACAGCCACACCAAGTCAACAGCCACATCAAGACAACAGCCACACTAAGTCAACAGCCACACCAAGACAACAGCCACATCAAGACACCAGCCACATCAAGACAACAGCCACATCAAGACAACAGCCACACCAAGTCAACAGCCACACCAAGTCAGCCCACACCAAGTCAGCCCACACCAAGTCAACAGCCACACCAAGTCAACAGCCACACCAAGTCAGCCCACACCAAGTCAACAGCCACAGCAAGTCAACAGCCACACCAAGACAACAGCCACACCAAGTCAACAGCCACACCAAGTCAACAGCCACACCAAGTCAGCCCACACCAAGTCAACAGCCACAGCAAGTCAACAGCCACACCAAGACAACAGCCACACCAAGTCAACAGCCACACCAAGTCAACAGCCACACCAAGTCAACAGCCACACCAAGTCAACAGCCACACCAAGTCAACAGCCACACCAAGTCAACAGCCACACCAAGTCAACAGCCACACCAAGTCAACAGCCACACCAAGTCAACAGCCACACCAAGTCAACAGCCACACCAAGTCAACAGCCACACCAAGTCAACAACCACACCAAGTCAACAGCCACACCAAGACAACAGCCACACCAAGTCAACAGCCACACCAAGTCAACAGCCACACCAAGTCAACAGCCACACCAAGTCAACAGCCACACCAAGTCAACAGCCACATCAAGACAACAGCCACACTAAGTCAACAGCCACATCAAGACAACAGCCACACCAAGTCAACAGCCACACCAAGTCAACAGCCACACCAAGTCAACAGCCACACCAAGTCAACAGCCACACCAAGTCAACAGCCACACCAAGTCAGCCCACACCAAGTCAACAGCCACACCAAGTCAACAGCCACACCAAGTCAACAGCCACACCAAGTCAACAGCCACACCAAGTCAACAGCCACACCAAGTCAACAGCCACACCAAGGCAACAGCCACACCAAGACAACAGCCACATCAAGACAACAGCCACACCAAGTCAACAGCCACACCAAGACAACAGCCACACCAAGTCAACAGCCACACCAAGTCAACAGCCACACCAAGTCAACAGCCACACCAAGTCAACAGCAACAAAAAGTCAACAGCCACACCAAGTGTGGCCTATGGTCCTCAACAACCACACCAAGTGAGGCCACACCAAGTCAACAGCCACACCAAGTCAGCCCACACCAAGTCAGCCCACACCAAGTCAGCCACACCAAGTCAATAGCCACGCCAAGTTTGGCCATACCAAGTGTGGCCTATGGCCTTCAACAGCCACACCAGTTCTGGCCTATGGCCCGTACTCTCTGCCATTGAAAACACTTTAATACTGGCCACCCACACTCGAAGGAAGGAGTCAATAATCGAATATAAATTGTCGAAATCTGTGTAAAGCACATCGTTACACCTGCTTATACAAGAGTTCAGTCGATATCGATACCGCTAAGTGGGTGAGAATAATGAGAATCGATCCTGCCCTAAAGCGGAGTTAGGATTAGCTTCAGTTTTTGTGATTGTTTTTGTTACTGAAGTCTGCACTTGATTTACATCGGTGGCATTCACTGTTTCGGTAGAATTTGGTACTTTACATAGGTAGCATTTGGTACTTTACATAGGTAGCATTTGGTACTTTACAAAGGTAGCATTTGGTATTAAACATAGGTAGCATTTGGTACTTTACATAGGTAGCATTTGGTACTTTACATTGGTAGAACTTGGCGCTTTACATTGGTAGAATTTGGCGATTTACATTTGGTGCTTTTGATATGTAGCATTTATTGCTTTATATTTGTAGCTTGCGGTGCTTTATATATGTAACATTTGGTACTTTACATAAGTAACATTAAGTACTTTACATATGTAACATTTGGTACTTTAAAGTCGGCAAAATTCGGCAATTTACATTCGTAGTTTTTTTACTTTCGATATACAGTGATCCACTTGGACTTACGAAGCCTGTGGTAACTTAAGTCTTAAACAAAGAATTAAAATATTGACATGATAAATTAGTGAGCTAAGATTTCAGTTAGTTACTAAGGAAACCAACTTCCCCATGAATGTTATTAGCAAATAGCCCAGATTATTCAATACAAAACATAAATTCACAAGAACATAAAACAACCACGTGACCTACATATGTCTGTCCTACACGCGCTTAAATATCTATACGTCACGTGGTGTCTATACCACGCAACTCTACCAGTGAATAAATTTCACGACCTAAGTTTCCAGCGTCCCTTATGGCACACCGCTGTATCGGAGCATTTCAGTGGCCGGGCGTTTTTGATGGCGCTCAGGTTAAGTGGGGGGGGGGGGGGGGTAGTGTTCTAGTGGGGTAATGCTCGGGGGGGGGGGCAGTTCTCTATCAAGTGAGTCACTAATTACAAGTAAATGTCCTGTCTTGTCAGAGAATCCAGACATGTCTATATAAGATGAGTAGTGTCTGTAGTTATGACTCACAACAGTACTCGATATGGGAGTATATCAAAATACTAGCGGGGCGTGGAGTGGAGGTGGAGTGTACGCCCGAGGCTGAGGCGAGTGGTGTATCGTCGTGAGACAGCCTCGAGTGGTTGTTGGGGGTTGGAGTGGTTGTTGGGGGTTGGAGTGTATCGATCAACCCTGTAGGTTGGAGCAGCAGATACGATCATCTTTTAATAGAGCGGTACTTGAGATGTTTTTCTCGTACATCTTCAGTTGACGTTACCTCTTGTATCTGTCATTATCTGACGGTGACTGCTATCTGACAGTAACTACTACATCTATAATTTTTTCAAATATCTGACACTGACTGCTACATCTATATCTGACACTTTTACATCTATAATTTTCTCAAATATCTGACAGTGACTGCTACATCTGCAATCCTCTAATGTATCTGAAACAACAACATCTAGCCTATCCCCTATGGACCGCAGCAAGCCAACCTGACAACCCGACAACCTGACAACCCATCCCATGATAGACGAAGGCTACGCCAGCCCTACTTAAGTTACTAATTAGCCTTAGATTTTTTTTAACCTCGATTTGCCAACTCCAGTTTTTCTTTGGTCGGCAAGGCTAGAGTGTCTGTGGTTGCCGACAAACTTGCTGGGTGTAAACAAACGGCAAGAATCTCCTAGAAGATCTATTTTCAGAGCTTACCACAGTTGGAGCATTTCATGCATTGAATGTAATTAGCGACTCTCATGCATATAAGTGTTTACAGCTCCACCTGTCTCGGAACGTATTCAAAGTCATCATTCATCTACAGGAGTGGCGCAGCTAGGGTTTCTGATTCACAGTCTTTTCAATAGCACACAGACATACACACACAATATATATATATATATATATATATATATATATATATATATATATATATATATATATATATATATACACTATATATATATATTTATATATATATATATATATATATATATATATATATATATATATACATATATATAGTGTGTGTGTGTATACACTAAAACTTAAAACCCCATGTTAAATGATACAACGATAAGACTTTGATGTCTTAGAATTGTTTCTCAGGTTCCAAGTCACACCTTCGCCTGGCACCCTGCCCATTACACCCTGCCGAGTTTCTCTGACAGTTAACCTGTTTGCTGTTTAAACATAAGCAGGTGATAAATGTGACATTGTCACGGCACGCTCGACTAGCGATTGTCACGTGGACAGAGCGGAGCCGTGTGTATCCCCATTAAGGTGTGGTTATCGACCCCGGGGCTGGGGCAAACAGAAAGTTTCCATTGCGTCAAATGTTGGGTGGTAATGGCGGGGATATAAATGTGGCCCTGCCTCGTGAGGGTAAGGCAAATCTCTCATGAGGGCCAGGCAAATCTTGCTTTGATAGGGCTGGTTTATTTCTATCTGGCACAGACGTTGTTGGAGGGGTGGGGGGGGGGGGGTTGTCGTTAGGGAGTTTGTGGGGGAGTCAAGATGGCGAGGGGGGGGGGGGTGTTTATCTTTTGATTGGTGTATGTAGAGCTTTTACGGATTTGCAGGATGGATGGGTCCTCTTTCTTGCGGGGTCGGTGGGTCTTTTTTCAGGGTCGGTGGGTCTTCTTTCAGGGTCGGTGGGTCTTCTTTCAGGGTCGGTGGGTCTTCTTTCAGGGTCGGTGGGTCTTCTTTCAGGGTCGGTGGGTCTTCTTTCAGGGTTGGTGGGTCTTCTTGCGGGTTCGGTGGGTCTTCTTTCAGGGTCGGTGGGTCTTCTTTCTTGCGGGTCGGTGGGTCTTCTTTCTTGCGGGGTCGGTGGGTCTTCTTTCTTGCGGGGTCGGTGGGTCTTCTTGCGGGTTCGGTGGGTCTTCTTTCAGGGTTGGTGGGTCTTCTTTCAGGGTCGGTGGGTCTTCTTGCGAGGTCGGTGGGTCTTCTTTTTTGCGGGGTCGGTGGGTCTTCTTGCGGGTTCGGTGGGTCTTCTTTCAGGGTCGGTGGGTCTTCTTTCAGGGTCGGTGGGTCTTCTTGCGAGGTCGGTGGGTCTTCTTTTTTGCGGGGTCGGTGGGTCTTCTTTTAGGGTCAGTGGGTCTTTTTTCAGGGTCATTACAAGGTCGGCATTGAAGTATTCACGAACTTTCACAACGACTAATATCAGCTTTCTTTGGTGCAACGTATTTTCGTGGGTCGGGGTTTTAAACTGACAAAATATACAGGACTTATATAACTTGCTAAACTTTACTCGCAGTTGAGTCTGAAATTTGTTTGCCTAGCAAATGGATGTTGTAGGTAGTGATTGACACGTGTGTCATAGGTGTTTGTTGTAGCATATCATTAACAGTTAATTAGCATATATTTTTCCATCCATATGTTAACTAGCTGGTTGTATATGAGGTAGAGAATGACGTAACACGGAGCTATCTGTGAGTATGGACTCGTTTGGTCCAGAGGCGTAGCGAGGAGGGGGGGGGGCGGGGGGGGGGCATATGTCCCCGGGCGCCGACCTTAGGGGGGGGGCGCCAAATTGAAAGTTTGAGGGGGGGGGGGGGGTTCAAATGAAAAGTTCGAGGGGGGGGGGTGCAAATCGAAAATTTGCTCCCGAGGGGGGCGCCAAATTGAAAGTATGTCCCCGGGCGCCGGGAAGGGTCGCTACGCCTCTGGTTTGGTCAACTTTTACCAGGAACTTTTCATCACGCGGGAAATGTTTCTAGATATCATTACGCCAAAATTTGATGTGATCATGTGGTGTGTCATTCGACGCTAGATGTCAGCACATGTCAGATAAGCAACAAACCAATGCCATGTCAGCAGAAACAACTTGTTTACAAACACACGATGTCTGACTTTGTCTAACAATGTTGTTGGGATTAATACATAAAGGTGACCACATAGCCACACTGTCCAGGTCAAATAAGGTGTCCACATAGCCACACTGTCCAGGTCAAATAAGGTGACCACATAGCCACACTGTCTAGGTCAAATAAGGTGTCCACATAGCCACACTGTCCAGGTCTAATAAGGTGACCACATAGCCACACTGTCTAGGTCAAATAAGGTGACCACATAGCCACACTGTCAAGGTCAAATAAGGTGTCCACATAGCCACACTGTCTATGTCAAATAAGGTGACCACATAGCCACACTGTCTAGGTCAAATAAGGTGACCACATAGCCACACTGTCAAGGTCAAATAAGGTGTCCACATAGCCACACTGTCTATGTCAAATAAGGTGACCACATAGCCACACTGTCCAGGTCAAATAAGGTGACCACATAGCCACACTTTCTAGGTCAAATAAGGTGACCACATAGCCACACTGTCTAGGTCAAATAAGGTGACCACATAGCCACACTGTCTAGGTCAAATAAGAAGGTGACCACATAGCCACACTGTCCAGGTCAAATAAGGTGACCACATAGCCACACTGTACAGGTCAAATAAGGTGACCACACGTTACATTTTTGACCTATGGCACAATTTCAAGAGGCATATGTGTGTTGCAGTACCAACCGTAAGTAGAATGTATCATTAACTTATATGTGTATACCCTACTAATGAGCAGCACATAGGGGTCAAACAGACATGGACAAGGTCGTATGGAAATCGACAAGGGTCAAATGCAAATGACACGGGGTAGAATGCAAATGGTGGGGGTCGTATGTAAAAGGTCATTTGGCCTCAAGGACAAGTAGCCATCGACATGCGCTGGTTTATCAGCAGACGCCATCATATTGCCTGACATGGGAGCCTCTTTACGATTGGTTAAACATTTTCTTGTTGGAATAAAAGCCAGCTGACGTCACATCCGGTCTGTCGAGCCACGCTCAACTCACTTTTGAGCGCCCAAATGTTTGTTTATATAACATCGACGTATGGTGCATTTGGCTATGTGCTTTCAAGTTTGTATTACGTCATGAATACTCAACAACAACTTACAAAGCTCGCGAAAATGCGTCCTGTTGAAAGGACGTTTGCCCAATATTCTTGATTAATTTTGTAGTGTTGATTATCCTTTCAAGGGCTGTCACAATTACTCCACTGAATGGCTTTATGCTAAGAGCATGGGCTAATTAGCTTGCTCTTTACGGCGGTGCTTTTCTGCTCGTAGCCAACATGTCACAAAAAATGACATGCTTCGTTTTCATTGAAGAATTATGTCAATTTGTGCTTGTCTCTCCAGTGCAGCTAATGGTAGACTTGCCATGCTGGCTGTTTGAAAATTGTCTTTTCACTATAGTTTATGACAAAATTAGTCACGTGACAACATTCTTCTCTGTTTTTGTTTACATTTCAGTGTCATTTAATTGCTTTAGAGCGCGCGTCAGCTGTTTAATGGTGTCATATGGCAGATGTTATAAAAGCATTAAAAGTGTTGGGTTTTATCTGTTTTAGAGGTATATAATTCTTCTAATGTATCTGTTTTTGAGTTTATATCTCTTAGATTGTCATATAAGTTCTATGTTATCGGATCAAGATGTTTATATCAATTTTATTTTGCTAGCTTTAGAGTTATATGTTAGCTGCTTTGGGAGAGGGGGGCATATTTGTTGATTTCCATAGGGACAATCAACATCAGTAAAAAAAATATTTTCAATTATTCTGCTCTGCTGAATTGTTGAGATAAAAATATTTGTCATTAATTTTTTTTATCTACCCTAAATTAGGCCATTGTTACAATTTACACCATGGAACACCTCCATCTTGCTGACCTTGACCTAGACGCTGACCTATATAGTGGTTCGCACTTCCTGTGCGGGAGCGGAGCTTGGAAAAAACAACAATTTTATTGCAAGCAAATGGTGGGGTATATGCCACAACAGTTAAGTCTATCGATTTGTATTGGCGATGTTAGGCCAAGATGGCTGATGTAAGCTTTCATGTCTGTAGAATATGGGTCTCAGTTTCTCATTTAGATAGGTTCAATGTTTCATTAATACAAAAGTGGAGGGAATTTTCAGACCAAGCGACCATTAGAGCAGATGAACTTATTCGCTAAATGAAGATAAAGAATGAGAAGTTCTATATCAAGCCGATTTGTTTTCATATTCTAACCTTTGTTAAGTCCCTATCAGAGTACTCGAACTCGAGACTTTCGGCGTTTTGATAATACGCTCTACCAAACGACCACATGCCCTGTCTTATTTAAACTAAATTAAACAACACTTTTTAAAAAAGTTAGTCGAAATGTGTGGATAGTTGGAGGAGGTGTGGTCAAGTCAGTAGCAGCTTAAACTTGTGGGAGACACGAGACAAATCGAGTAAGCAGATCTGAACCCTACTGTCTTCTTGGTGATTCGCTGGGTAGAAGCGGCAACAGGAAGGTGCTTAGTTGAATGGCGACGCTAGGCAACAACGACACAATAGAATAACGACATAATGGAATAACGACACAAGGGATTAACGATATAATGGATTAATTTATCAATGACACCATGAATTAACAACACAATGTAATAACGACGCAATGGAATAAGGACATAAGGAATAACGACTTAACGGTTTAACGAACTAAGGAAATAACGACACGACGGAATAACGACACGACGGAATAACGACACGACGGAATAACAACACGACGGAATAACCCCAGCGTATACAACAACAACAGTTGGTGTTTAGGCAAACGCTAATTTGATGAGGTGTGGGCAAAAAATAAATAATTAAATAAGTGAGGATTTTTTAAAAAGTTGTATAAAATAAAATCCTAGAAAAGAGTTTTTTAACAATAGATGAGATTAGCAAGCAATTTACTGGAGTAGTTTGATCGTATTGTTATTTTATTGGAAGATAATGTGCTATTGGGATAATATTTACGCCGCATAGATTCTTGAGATAAGGCAGTCAGAGAGAGAGAGAGAGGCTGAGCTATGAATGTGTGGGACCTCACAGAAACGTGAGGGACCTTACACACATGTTTGGGACCTTACATACACATGTGTGTGGGACCTTACATACATGTGTGGGATCTTACACACTCAGATATGTTAGACTTAATATTCAGTGATGAGATTAACCGATAATATAAACTAAATTTCGTTAGGGTGTGAGTGTGTGGGATGTGAATGTGTGGAGGTGAGGGTGTGGGATGTGAATGTGGAAGTGTGAAGTCTATGTGTGGCATGCCGTTGAAAGGGTTGGTCAACTACATCAGGTTGGCAGAGGTTGGCATAGTTGAATGTATTGGAGTAAATAAATTTATAGGTTGGCATAGTTGAATGTATTGGATGAAATAAATTTATAGGTTGGCAGAGGTTGGCATAGTCTAATGTATTGGATATAAATAGATTTATTTCCATTGCGTGACGCCCGTACCCATCACGTGCACGCCCGAGGAGGAGACGCTAGAGCGCGTGTCCATCCATCCAGGTCGGGTGAGTACACTATAACCCCACCCCCGGGCATCTGACAGGCATGGCCGGCCTCCCGCTGCCGATAAGGGAGAGATACTTTCATACAGAGATAGATTCTACGTTCATAGTTCCAATACAATATGGCTGCCACATCACGTGTTATCGTGGTCAGATAGTGCCCCCTGGCGGTGGGGTTTTATTGCTGCCTGATTAGGGTGGGGGGGGGGGGCGATAAGGTATGCTGACACGTGCTTCACACCCCCGGGACTGGGCATCGTGTGCCGTTATTGGTTGGATTATATGAACTCCTGTACCTACCAAAATAGTTTTGACCTTCCGTATTGACCTTCAATCATTCACCTACCGTTATGACCTTCGGTCATTGACCTATCGTCAAGACCTTCTAATAATACTATGACCGACTAATACCACGCGATACTTAGAAGACCTACGGTGTTGACTAATGACAGTAATTACCATCTACAATATTGACCTTAAGGCAGAGGCGTAGCGAGGGGGGGCGGGGGGGACATATGTCCCCGGGCGCCGACCTTAGGGGGGGGCGCCAAATTGACAGTTTGAGGGGGGGTGCAAATGAAAAGTTCGAGGGGGGGTGCAAATCGAAAATTTGCTCCCGAGGGGGGCGCCAAATTGAAAGTATGTCCCCAGGCGCCGGGAAGGGTCGCTACGCCTCTGCCTTAAGGCATCAATATTTATATGACCTATATATGACCTACACAAATGACCTTGTCAGGTTATCATGACACTACAATATTTAAAAAAAATATTTTGTGACACGCCAAGCTAAAGCAATAATGTAATTAGGCGTCCCGTAAAACAATTAAAATAATGATCTTAAAACTCGAAAAAGGATTGTTAACTTTTTTCGGGAAATTAATTACGAAGCTTGTTGTCTTCTTAATTAAAACAAATGGGCAGATAGCTGGCAGTAATATAGCTGGGAGTGACGGGGTGGGGGGCGTGGGAGGCTGGTCGCAAGGGGTGGGGGATGGGCATGGTGGCAGGGGGGTGGCTGGGAGGATGGAATAGGGTAGGGGTTGGGAGGGTAGATAGGTGTGGTGGCAGGGAGGGTAACTGGGGGGGTGGGGTGGCATAGAGTGTTGATTAATACAAATACAAGAATATAGAAAATGTAAGGAAAAACGTGTAAAATAAAAACATGGCCGTTATTGCATTAAAAAAATGGCCGCTGTTGTATTAAAAAAACATGGCCGCTGCTATATTAAAAAAACATGGCCGCTGCTATATTAAAAAAACATGGCCGCTGCTATAATGGCCGCTGCTATATTAAAAAAACATGGCTGATGTTGTATTAAAAAAAAGATGGCCGCTGTTTTATTTACGGATTACACGACGCTGACCTCGTCTGTAAATTAAGACGCCATTTTGTCTGACGCGGCGTCTAGTCCATTGACGACGGCAAAAAATGAAGCACCCATCAAAAGCGGGTCTTCATTTCCTTTATTGATATATAATCTTATTTTTAGTGCCTTCATTTCGGCCTGTCTGTCCGCGGTCTATTTTTAGCAAGGTCTGTGTAGAGATGACGTCAGAATTCAATGGGATTTCCTGACACTAATTTTATACACGTCACTAATCACAGACTTTTAGTGGCTAAGCGACAATTGCGTCATCGTCCATGGTTAATTGATTTCCTAATTGATGAGGTTAAGCAGACGATTTAAAGAACACGTGAGAATTGAGGGCAGCCATCTTGTTCTCACCAATATTGTCTTTCCTGAAGGAGAGTTTGGTATCGATTCGTTTTGGGCTATTGCACAGCAGCACGATCTAAAAGGGAATCGATTCTTAGGTCTCGAGGGATACAAGTAGTGGCTGGGGCCAAACTGAGTTAAATATTTGACTGGTAGTTACATGAAATATTTGGTAGTTACATGAAATATTTGGTAGTAGCATAACATATTTGGTAGTTACATGAAATATTTGGTAGTTACATAAATATTTGGTAGTTACATAAATATTTGGTAGTTACATAAATATTTGGTTGTTACATGAAATAATTGGTAGTTGCATGAAATATTTGGTAGTTACATGAACCATTTGACTGTTAGTTACATGAAATATTTGACTGGTAGTTTCATGAAATTTTTGGTAGTTACATGAAATATTTGACTGGTAGTTTCATGAAATATTTGGTAGTTACATGAGATTTGTGGTAGTTACATGAAATTTATCACTGAACTATTTGAGTGAATACCAGATCTACTCTACTCTGTCCCTGTATGTCCTAACATAGCAAGCTGCGTTAGTGCCCCTGTTGAGACGTTGGTTTAAAAATGTCACGTGATCGCTGGTGTCACTCCAACACTTCCCCCACCCAGGGGAAATATCGCTGACTTACTAGAACACCTTAGACAGACTGGTGGACATTTGTAGGGACATTCTCTTTGACATTCTCTTCGACATTCTCTTCGACATTCTCTTCGACATTCTCTTCGACATTCTCTTCGACATTCTCTTCGACATTCTCTTCGACATTCTCTTCGACATTCTCTTCGACATTCTCTTCGACATTCTCTTCGACATTCTCTTCGACATTCTCTTCGACATTCTATTGGACATTCTATTGGACATTCTATTGGACATTCTATTGGACATTCTCTTCGACATTCTCTTCGACATTCTCTTCGACATTCTCTTCGACATTCTCTTCGACATTCTCTTCGACATTCTCTTCGACATTCTCTTCGACATTCTCTTCGACATTCTCTTCGACATTCTCTTCGACATTCTCTTCGACATTCTCTTCGACATTCTATTGGACATTCTATTGGACATTCTATTGGACATTCTATTGGACATTCTATTGGACATTTACTTGTACAATCACATACATTTCATTAAATACTTATTGAATTTTCTTCATGAATCCTTTAAGCCATTTCGATATCAAGTATTAAATTGGACATTTTACTTGAATTACTTTTGTAAATATTAATAGACGTTGTTCTCTATACACTGCAGGTTATTTTCTTAAGAACTATGCTCGACCACAGACAAGATATTACCCTCTTAGTTTTCATCAAACTATTTACTGTTACATACTAATACATTAAATAACCTAATGTTACATACTAATATATTAAACTACCTAATGTTACAAACAAATACAATCGACTAACATGCTAATGTTTTGTGCCCATTTAAGTGATGTAACCTGCAGTTATTCAACAATTCCAGAATTCTAGTACTATGAGAAAGACCTGTTTTTATACGATCGCTTAAATTTGTTCGCTTAACTGTATAGGCAGCCGATTCAAGCAAAAGTATACAAAACGTAAATCATACTTTGTTAGTGTGAGATTTCGGTTTGATCAATAGACCACGTGACCTTGAGAACACAATACAACCAATCAATACAGGACGCTTTCTTCGACACTCGTGCTTGTAAGACGTTTTGTTCAAACCTCGGTTGATCGAACAAATTTAAGCTGTCGTTTACATACACGTATTTCTGTACATACACGCATAGTACATCTACACATACACATTTTTATGTACATTCGAGTATATTTGAGTACATCTAAACATAAAGTTATATTAATGTACATACATGTATTTTGCAGTATATCACATGTCTGTATATACACTCATATATCAGCCCATATAAACACATTTATGTACATTGGTGCACATTTCAGTAAATCTATACACATTTCACAATTGACAGTTTGGTACACAGATAAATATATTCATTTGGGTATCCACATTCTGCTATATACCCACATTTTTTCTATATACCCCCAAATATTGCTACATATAGAAAATAGCCACATAGGCCTATAGTGTTTTCTTTACTTTGTCCAATATTGCAATCAAATGACACGCATATTTAGCTCCACAAATAGCGCCGCCGAGTAATCGTATTTGTACCAAATTTACATTAGGTTTACAAACATTGGATTCGATTATTTTTATTGTGTGATTAACACAGATAGTCTAGACGTTTCCTTGGCACCGAGATATTGTACATTCTGGAAAGGTCAGAATCTGGACGAATCACTTTTGTCTACTGGCGATGGAAAGGTCATCAACTTAATGTATACGTACTGCAAAAATGTGACAGTTTATGATTATGTTTCACCATTAGTCACCTGTTTCACCATATCTCCTCTAAAGTCACCTTGTCTCACCATGTCTCCTCTTGAGTCACCATGTCTCACCCCATCTCACCATGGCTATCACCAATGGTGTAGCTGATTACCTCACCCATACGAACACTTAGTGTGAGATGGACACAACAGTCTACATGTATCACCATGGTAACGTTTTCACAATCATATCTCAACGACAATCATATTTGATTGTCGACCCACAATCACTTCAAACAAACAGCCTACAATCATATCTCAACGACACTCCACAATCATATCCGATTGACATTCCACAATCATACCTAATAGACATCGTACAATCATTTATAACAGACAACCTACAATCACACCTAAATGTCACTCCATAATCAAGTCTAACAGTAAACCTACAACAATATCTAGCCGATATTTCACAAGCAAATTCAGCTGCTTTAAGTAGTATCACTACAATAATCAACCTTTACGCTGAAAAGTTCGTAATAAAAACCGTGTAACTATAAACGTTTCATAATATTTAAAAAAATCACCCAAACAAATTAGATATTGAATTACTAATGTACCACACTGACCTATACCAAGTCCCGCCTCCCGCGTAGGTTGATTTGTTTAGCTCGCAGACTTGAGTTCAACAATATAAACAGATCTGTGTGAAAACAAAACAACAGCATACGATAATGATTTCACCAACTGATTTATTTATAAATGTTGATTTAAGTAAGAATTGGCAACTGAAAACAATCGTCGCTTAAATATGTTAGCCATTTTACGAGAAAGTTTGTATTATTTTATTTTTTCAGTGCATTATATATTTTTTAATTATTAAATTTTGTTGATATTTGTTTTATTTTCTACTTTTAGTGATTATGAATTTTAAATGTAAAATAATAAGTCTATATCTTAGTTAAAAGGAATGATGTTTAAAGAAAAATACTTTTATTCTTTATGGAGTTTACACCAAGTAAGACTAAAAAAATGTGTTTTAAAACTCAAAGGTAGCTTGCAAGTTCTTAAAAACAACTAGAATACCCGTCATCCGTTGGATAACTGTGGGTTTCGGGGGTCATCCATCAAAAAACATCACGTCTGTCACTCAGAGGCATAGCGAGCCTTCCCGGCGCCCGGGGACAAACTTTTCGATTTTAACCCCCCCCCCCAAGATTTCGATTTTCAACCCCCCCCCCCTCAAACTTTTGATGTGCACCCCCCCCCACTCAAACTTTCGATTTGAACCCCCCTCAACCTTTCAATTTATTTTTCCAGACCATTTTGGCGCCCCAACATATGTCCCCCCGCCCCCCCCCCTTCCCCCCTCCACCTCCCCCCGCCTCCCCTTCCCCCCCCCCCCCCCCGCCTCCCCTCCCGCCCCCCCCCCCCTCCTCGCTACGCTACTGCAGTGTCACTTATCGTCACAAAAAACAGACCCCACATTCAAAAATATGTTTCTTATCTTTTAAAAACACCGAAAACACCGATTTCGGACTATCCCTTCATATACTGACGTCACATGTGACCTACTCAACTCTACTTCACCTGCCCAGTGTCCCGCCAAGTCTCAGACAACATGTTTCTATCGTTTAAAAAACGATTCCAGCCGAGCATGTCTCTGACCACACTATCCTTTCATATGCTTAGGACAAAGAAACAGATGAACTCTACTTCACCTGCCCTGTATCCTGGCAAGTTCAGATAGGCAACTTTATCATTCACATCTAAAAAAAAAATTGAAAAAAAATATCATTGACATATTGGTCTAGAACCTGTGCCACCCGAATGAGAGCGGGCTACGCTACCAACTTAGCTATTTACTCGTGACGTCACAAATGAATTTTTATACTATACTTTTGAGTCTCCGCGCATAGATCTAGATATTAGGCTAGTAGTAGTAACTTTCAAATTAAATTTAATCTTAAATTAGACAAACAAAGATTTATATAAAATAAAGAAGTTCTGAAATTAGCTAGATCTAGATAATTCTATCTAGATCTATATTCTACGACTCGCTTGCTTAGGTCTTAAGTTTAGTTTTTCTTGCTAGATCTAGATCTAATCATTAGCTACGCTGATAGGCCCGGAGCGAGCATTTCAAAATTACCATATTCCAAACAAAGATTTATATAAAATAATAAAGGTCTAAGATAGTTTAGTATATAGAAAATCATTATTATCTAAATCTAGATAGAATTATCTATATTTTAGATATACGACTGAGCTATATCTAGAGTTTACGTCTATAATTTTGCACACTTAGTGGTATAGAAGCCGCGTATGAATCTTAAGCTACGCAAATAGATCTAGGTCCTGACTCCAGCACTTCAAAATTTGCATAGGGGCCTAGTCAAAACAAAGATTTATACAAAACAATAAAGGTCTAAAATATTTCGAAGTGTCTACTCGGAATAAGATTTTTCGGCAAAAGATAGTTCTGCGCATGCGCAGTGACCTATGGCTAGGGTTAGGGCTAGAATGAGGGTTAGGGATAGGATTAGGGATAGGGTTAGGGATAGGATTAGGGCTAGGGTTAGGATTAGGGATAGGGTTAAGGATAGGATTAGGGTTGGTATTAGGGTTCTGGTTGGTATTAGGGTTCTGCGGTTGTAAACACACGCATGCGCAGTACCATCGAAAACATCGCCGCTAAGTCGTAGTTTCTCTCCATTGCGCATGCGTATCACATGCGTATCTTATTCCGACTAGAATCGGCCAAAATATTTTAGTATATAGAAACTCATTATTATCTAAATCTAGATAGAATTATCTATATTCTAGATCTACGACTGGTTTGCTTAAGTCTCGTTTCTTTTTTGGTTTGTATTAAGATCTATAACTAATAAATTTTTGATTTGACCTAGATTTAGATTCTAGATCTAGATCTATAAATAAATAACTTACTTGGACAGATTGTAGATCTAGAGAAATTTATTGTAAAACTAAATGAAAAAAGACAGTTGAAAATTGATATAAGTGTTGGAACGTAATAAATACAGCAAACGGACGTATTGTTAAAGTTATGACCGACAGAAAATTAGATTTGATTTGACCTAGATCTAGATCTAGATCTATAAATAACTTTCCTTCGACAGCTGATCTTTAGATCTAGAGAAATTTATTGTAAAACTAAATGAAAAAAGACAGTTTAAAATTGATATAAGTGTTGGAACGTAATAAATACAGCAAACGGCCGTATTGTTTAAGTTATAGCCGGCAGAAAATTAGCTTTGTAACGCGTGAAACTTTTGAATGGGCCACAAAGTCTATGATGGGGTCCGCCATTTTTATTGTACCAAAAATGTAAACACATCAAGGGACGTCACTATCCCCACAAAGTTTATTCAAAGTATTAACATTTTTAAAAAAATACGGTTAATTTAACTATGAATAAATCAATAAATTAATTAACGTCTTTAAATAAATTTGTGATTAACAGTCTGTCTTAAAACAAAATTGTTTCTCTACCTACATACTATTTTACAGCTTTCCACGATGAGTGCAACCATGCGAGATAGTCGATCAGGCAAACAAACAAACAAAAAAAACAAATAAATATTCAAACATGTAAACAAACTTGACTTTTAGTAGTATATAGATTATCTGCCTATTGTTAGTCTATAGCCGAATCTCAAAATGAAAGTGATTGGACCAGCGATACTTAGTACAGCTGCGATACCGACTACACCTACGATACCACAAGTATCGATACTTGCTCCTACCTGATATGAAGTCAGCCACACGTGAAGTAGTAAACCAAGCATCCAGTGCAACACCGTCAGCTCTAGGTGAGCAGTCACTTGGGCTGGCTCACGTGTCGGGTTCTGTAGCTCGTATATCAGGTTCCCCCCCACTTTAGTGCTAGATAAATAATACTAGAGGCTTGTAACGTCTTGGTCTTCCACAGACAACTCACTGATAAGAAAATCTTTCCTTGTTGTCCAGGCATATCTCCAGTATGTAATTTGGATAGAGGAAAAAAAAACAACTAAAAACTGTCAAAGAAACACACTTTCTTATAAGAAAAATAACTTTCACATAGATAATTAGCTCATACACAAAAAAACCCAACTCAAAATAGATTAATTTTACAAAGACATACACATACACGCAAAAACACATACATCTACACACGTCAAGAAACACACACACTTAATAGACTAGCTTTCAAACTAGCTAACACGAAAAATGCTATCTCTTTCATACTTGACTCCCCCACTATCGTCCCACCCCCACACACTCCCCACACAGATTTTTACCTCCAGTCTGACAGGTCAGCGTAATTGAAGTCGGTGACATTCTCACTGCCCGACCACAGTGCCCTCCCTAAATGCCCCGCCACAATGCCCTACCTAAATGCCCCGCCACAATGCCCTCTCTAAATGCCCCGTCACAATGCCCTCCCTAAATGCCCCGCACAATGCCCTCTCTAAATGCCCCACCACAATGCCCTCCTTAAAAGCCCCGCCACAATGCCCTACCTAAATGCCTCGCCACAATGCCCTCTCTAAATGCCCCGCCACAATAACCTCTCTAAATGCCCCGCCACAATGCCCTACCTAAATGCCCCACCACAATGCCCTCCTTAAAAGCCCCAACACAATGCCCTACCTAAATGCCCCGCCACAATGCCCTACCTAAATGCCCCACCACAATGCCCTCCTTAAAAGCCCCAACACAATGCCCTCCTTAAAAGCCCCGCCACAATGCCCTACCTAAATGCCCCGCCACAATGCCCTACCTAAACGCCCCACCACAATGCCCTCCTTAAAAGCCCCAACACAATGCCCTCCTTAAAAGCCCCAACACAATGCCCTCCTTAAAAGCCCCGCCACATCTCCTACCTAAATGCCCCGCCACAATGCCCTACCTAAATGCCCCGCCACAATGCCCTACCTAAATGCCCCACCACAATGCCCTCCTTAAAAGCCCCAACACAATGCCCTACCTAAATGCCCCGCCACAATGCCCTACCTAAATGCCCCACCACAATGCCCTCCTTAAAAGCCCCAACACAATGCCCTACCTAAATGCCCCGCCACAATGCCCTACCTAAATGCCCCACCACAATGCCCTCCTTAAAAGCCCCAACACAATGCCCTACCTAAATGCCCCGCCACAATGCCCTACCTAA